GGGGGGGGGGGGGGGGGGGGGGGGGGAAAGGGGGGGGGGGGGGGGGGGGGGGGGGGGGGTGGCGAGTCGTGAGAGCAAGCAAGCCGTCAAGTCCCGGATGGTGCTGTGGGAGATGGCGCTGTGCCAGACAATTACAAAACAGGCGAGAGGCCAAATGAAAGCGCACCGGCCACAACGAAGCTCGCCATGCAGGGCGAGTGCATGTGTGCTGACGTGTTTCAATCAATGCCGACGTACTGCCCGACGGCCTGCGCAGCTTAGGGCCCTCCCACCTGCTCTTGCCGCAGCCGTTGGGCCCCATAAGCAGCACGTTGACGCCGCGCGCCACCTCAAATGACAGCTCACGGATGAGAGGGGAGCCGTCGGGGGAGTCCAGCGACACCCTGAGCGGGCATGGGTGGGTGGCAGGAGGGGGGCAGAGGGTGTGCGATGGAGGAGCGCAAGGATTGGCAATGTGCGCCACTGCACGGAGAGGATCCCTGATACGCCCGTGAACAAATCGCAGAATGCAGTTGCGCAAGCTGCATCCATGCAGCTTGCATGCATGCATCATGCTTCCGCACAGCTGTCCCTCCACCGACGCTGCCGCCCACCCACCCCAACCACATACCCTGCCTTGCACATGCATGCATACTTTAACGCCCATGCGCGCCTGCGCCCCACCTGTTGAAGCGTATGTGGTCATCGCTGCTGAAGCTGCGGCGCGGGGAGGGTGGTGGACTGCTGGTGCCCTCGGTCTCAATCTCCAGCAGGTGGGTCGCACTCACCTGGGGAGGGGGGGGGGCGATGCACCACGCAACACGGTCAGCAGGATGTGATGCGCCGGGCACGGATGGTGATGCCGTGCAGGTGTGCGGCAGTGCAGTTTGGGCGCTGCTTGCATGATGCTGCATGTCCACAAGCTGCAGGGATCCCAGGCTGACTCGGCCCAGCATCCTGGATGCCCCCTGGCCCGCAATCCCCCCTTTTGGCCCCACATTCCCCCCTGCTCACGTTCCTCCTGAAGAGCTCTTTGTGCTCTACATCCTCACAGCTCAGCTGCTGCACCTGGGGGCCCGGGATTTGGGGGGAGGGGGTACACAAATGGCCCGTCAGGACACCGCCGGGATGATGCAGACTGATGACGAGGCTGGGCACCGAACGCCCAGCGTAACACATGATCACAGCACCTCCAAAACATGGTTGTATTGCGCTTGCAGCCTGGCTCCAAGTGGAAAAGCCTATGCCCTGGCCCATCCCCTTCACACGCGAGACCAGCAGCCCGGAGGGCGCTGGACCCAGCGTGCGGCCCCCACCTGCTCCAGCAGCTCCGCCACGCGCGCCGTGTGGCCCGCCAGGTTTGAGACCCTCTTGTACACCATGATCAGGTCGCCCACGCCGCGGCTTGTGTTCTGCAGCAGCCGCATGCTGCGGATGTAGTCCCCCGTCAGCTGCCCCTGGTCCATGCGCGCCTGCAGGCGCGGGATCAGCGAGGGGCGGGGCAGGGGGAATGGCAGCAGCCAAGGACAGTCAAAGACGGCAGTCAAACAGGGAGGGGTGGTTTTACAGCCAAGAACGCAACTCTGTGTTGTTGCATGTCTTGTCCACCCTCTGCGTATCCCATCAAGCCGCGTACGATGCTGCGGTGACGCACCGCCGGGTCCATCAGGTAGATGGGTGCGGCATACACCAGGAGAGCCTGCGGCGGAGGGGTACCCGGGGGGGACGGGTGCGGCGGCGGGACGGGCCTGGAGGCGGGCAGGGTGCGCAGCCGCGACGGGCAGGCGCTGTGGCTGGCACAGGCACCAAAGCACTTGCCACCCGGCACTCCTGGCGGTCGCAATCAGGGTTGCTGCCGTGCGTGCTCACGTGCAGCCCCCGATGCAGATGGACCTCATCTGGTCCAACTGCCAACAGCAGCACCGGTCACCACACGTGCGGTCCGCCGTAAAGCATCCCCTCCCCGGCCGCGCCCGAACTTCACCCCCCCCCCCAAAGAAAAACACAACCGCGCACCACGCATGACGCGAGGTACTTGACCAGGTAGCCGTCCGCGATCTGCTGCAGGAAGCGCTGCAGGCTGGACAGCCGCGTGAACCGCACCAGCCGCCGCAGGTGCTGGTCCAGGATCAGCTGCTCGCTCGCACCTGGGGCGGGGGCGAGGGCGAGGGCGGGCGGGGTGGGCGCGCAGACATCGGCGTGCACGCGAGCAGCAAGGACGCTGGGCCTCTCTTGGTCTCGCACATGCCAGTCCTTGCCGCTTCTAGGCTGCGTGGGGCCCGAGCCGCATGGCAGTACACAAGAGGCACCCGCTGCCACAACAACATCGCCCGCTCTTCGCACATCGCGCCCCAGGGCCCCCCAGCCAAGCCCGCGCCCACCGCTGGAGGGCTCGTTGAAGGCCACCTCCTCCGCCGCCGCCACCAGCTTCTGGTGAGCCGCGCGGTAGCTGCCGCTGAGCCCGGCTTCCGATGCCGCCATCTGGGCTAGCGGCGGGCTGAGGGCGCGCAGCACCCAGGCCGTGAGCACGTAGTAGCCGTACAGCGCAAACTGGCCCTGGGGTTTGAGCAGCAAAGGCGGGGTGCGTGGCGTGAGGGGGGCAGGGGGCCACGCGAGCATGGTCAGACCACAACAGGATCCGATCCACCGAGACAGGGCTGTTGTGCCCAGGTCTCAGGCTCGTTGCAGCAGCGCACCTGCCCAGCAGGCATGCTGCAGCTGCGCGTCCGCGTCTCGCCCCCAGCACACGCAGTGTTGTGCGTGCGTGCGTGCGTGCGCGTCACCCCCCCCCCCACCTTGTAGCCCATGACGCGCGACAGCGAGCGCGTGAAGAGCAGCACGTCGAGCAGGGGCTTGACCGTGTGGTTGTACAGCTCGCTGAGGGACGCGCAGAAGCGCTCCACGTCCTCCGTCATGCGCTGGTCCGCGTGCGTCAGCCCGCCCAGGGTGCTGGCCGCGTAGTAGGCGCGGTTGCGCGTGTATGCGCGGTGCAGAGAGAGGCCCAGGCGCTGCTGGAAGCTGAGCTCTATGGCCTTCTGCATCCACTTGAGGCCCGCGTTGACCACCGCCGCGGGGATGCCCACCAGCGCAAAGCCCACTACCGCACGCCCAAATTTGTCAAAAGCCTGGGGGCGCGTCGCGGCACGGGAGGGGTGGGGGCGGAAACACGGGGCCGTCTCGGGAAAGCGCCGGCAGACGGGCGGCTCGTGGGCGCCTAGCGGGCATCCATATGATTGGGCGAGCTGGTGACGCCGGCCGCCGCTAGCGCTAGGAGGCCTGCCACTGTCGTCGGTCCCTTGCTCCACTGCAGGGACGCCCCGCATCAACGGGCCCCGCGCCGTGGCGTTGCACGCTTTGACCCGGGGTCCTCGTGCGTGGCCCCCCCTTTTCTCGGGCCCCCACCAGGGAGGTGATGGAGCGGCCGCAGTAGCCCTCTATGCGGGATATGTAGTCGGTCAGCAGCGTGCGCGACACCAGCAGGCAGCCCTGGACCAGCACCAGCAGCGCCTCCTTAGACAGGGGACCAGGCACGCAGCTGCGGGGAGGGTGAGCATGGCGGTACAGTACTCGACGCGAGAGCGGCGGCCTGGGGCGGGCCTTCCGCTTGCCGCTCGCTCAGCTTCCCGTCATCGCCAGTTGGGATAGGCACCCGGGATCCGAAAAAGCACCCACGCTCTCTCACATCTTGAGGATGGTGATCAGTCGGCTGAAAAAGAGGCTGTCCACCGCCACCTGCCGCGTCTGCTTGCCGCGCCGCACGCCAGACGCGTTTGACGATAGCACCCGCTGCTCTGCGCGCGCCGAACGCACGAGCGAGCGCAGGGCGCGGCCGCCTGCAGCACCACCCGCCAGCAGCAAGACCTGATGTCGTATGTGGGGATGCAGCGCAATGATTGGGTGTGGGTTGGGGTGCCGTGAACAGTGCAATTCCTTGCATTGTTGGTTGAGCATGAGCGTGACGCAGTTTCGCCACGCCAGCGTGAGCCATGAACGCCGTGTTGTGCGAGCGCCCAACCAGCCACGTCTTCCTTGAGCTCGGCCACGGGATGCAATAATGCAAAGATACTCATCAGGCTGAAATGAACGCTTTGCTCACTGCGACAGCTCTCTTCTGCGTGGGGCTCCATTTCGGGCCTGCGGCAGCGGCCAAAGCCGCGGAGGGAGGCATGACTGGATGCCTTGTGATTCTAGTCTGTATTGTGATGGAGTCACGACTAGTGAAGAGAAGCCACCAAAGCAGCGGAACGAACTCGAGTGAGTCCTGATCACAACATCGCAAGTAGCCAAACCGGACGCAGTTTTTGTTGTATATCGGCGCACTTCGAAGCGTACATTGTCATCTGGCCAACCTCATTGATCCTCATGAAGCAAGCGGTTTGACCTCCGTTGCTGCAGTGCTGGAGATCGTCCTCTCGCGCCTTTCCGCCATCTTAAATAATCATCGCACGCATTATGCGCGTGTAAGTCGCGCCGATCGTCCGCTGGCGATAGGCCAGCTTCCCGCGACCCAGCTCGAAAAACTATACAAAAATGCAGAGCTCGGCAAGGGCCAGGCCAAGCTCTTGCACAGCTGCGCAAGGCCATCGCGATCTTATTTGGGCAGCTAGCAGCGGGCTGATCCGTGTGGTCGCATGCCGGCGGCCCGTCGGCTGCGGGCGTCCTGCCCTGGCGGTCAGCGCACTGTCGTCCCGGCCTCGCGGCAGAGAGTCCCCCACCACTGATCGGCGTCAGCCTGAAGAAAGATCTGCCGAGCCCGATGAAGCGCAGTCCAAGCGGCCAGGTGGGGAGTGCGCCGCTGCAACTGCCGCTGCCGTTGCTGCTGATTGCCAGACGCTTTGGAAGCGTCCCCGAGCCTTGCAGCTGCCGTGTGTCGCTCGTACTGATAGCGCTTGCTGTCACGATTGGCCTTCCTGACCTGCATTCAAATTCTTGACTGCCGCCGCTCTGCACCGACAGACCCTGTGGCGGTGTCGCTCCTGGGCCTGGCGGCGTCTGTCGCGACGATCGCCAGCACACCTATCGCGCCCAGCGCGGCGCTGTCAGCCGTCGTGGCCGGCCTGCTCTCCCACCACTGGGGCCCAGGCGGCAGCGGGCCTCAAGCCAAGGCCGAGCCCCCGCCTTCCGCTGGAGCTGCGGATGACTGGAGCCCACATGACGGCCTGGGCGGCCGCGCATACCCCACTGTCGAGGGCTGGCCGTCCGAGCGCGAGCCCGAGCCTGGCGGCGGGCCGCCGCCGAGCTCGGGGCATGGGACAGGGGCGGGCGAGGCGCAGCGTGTGGTGGGGGCGGATGGTCAGGAGGTGCTGGCGGCCTCCAGCTCCAGCCTGCTGTCCATGGTGCAGCGCATCGCCACCCTCAGGCGCAGCCTGGGGCCGGGGCTGCCGCCAGAGCAGCCACACCTTGGTGGCGCCGCAGGCACGACGGGTGGGGGCGCCGCAGGGCCCAACGAGGAGCGAGCGGTCCAGTCAGCAGTGGGTGGGGAGACCGCGGCAGCGTCCGGAGAGCAGCAGGCGGAGACGGGCCGGCTGCTCGCGCGCGCACTCGCTAACGTGCAGCGGCTCACGACGCTGATCCGCGAGCGCGACGCACGGTGAGCGGCCGACGCGATCGGCTCTGCGCAGGGCGGATTTGCCACGCAGTGTTGCGGGCACAAACGTCCAGCTAAGGAGCCGTTCCGCTGCACACAGCCCCAGGTGCCGCCTGCGCTGGCCTGACACACCCTGCCCTCCCCCCCCCCCTCGCTCCGTGCGACTGCACCGTTCATTGCCGCAGGGTGAAGCGTTTGGAGCAGCAGCTTGCGGTGATGGCGGCCACCACAGCGGCGGCCGCCCTGGCCAGCAGCAGGGCCTCTGCCGCCCAGGTGGCCGCACCGCCGGGGCCGTCGCACGCCGGCTCCGCTGCCACGTATGCTCCGGTGGCTGCGGGACCCCTGGGTGCGGCGGCTGCCCCCGCCTCCCAGCAACACTCCAACGCGCGCGCGG